ATATAAAATCTACATCATTTTAGATGTGAATACTATTAAAAATATGTGTACCACGAGCTCTCTAAATGTAGGTGTCGTATACGACGGTGTAGTGCTTAATAAATGTTGGAATATTTGAATTAACGCTATATTTGAATTTGTTTTGCTCTATTTTGGAGCATTAAATTAGCACTGAAATCCCTGTGTACTTATTTTTTGTATACGTACAGTTTGTTCAATAAGAAAGTGACGCTCGTTATTCATCATTAAGCTGAAACCCCATTTTTTTAATTGATGCTAAATCGTTTGAGCACTAAAATTCGGAATAGGGTACTAAATTAGCACCTAAAAGGTACTAAATTTTTTACCTATTCCGAATTTGATTTTCGAATGTGGGAGGTCGTATATATATTGTATAAGAACGTTTCGTACAAGAACGATTAATATCAAAGGAATGCTTTGAATACAAAGTACAATTTTTGTCGTACATATTAATTATATAGATAGGGGAAAAAGGATGGAAACTCTGAAAATTTTTGGAACATATAAGTTTCACCGAAAAATGTTTCGTGTGAAAATTGTAAAGTTTAAAAAGATCCATTAACTAGTCTCATTGGTTTGACCTTGAACGGCGTCGCTAATATCAAGGTCACATTTGTAATAGAACTCTCCTCCCTGTTAGGTTGCGCATTTTTATAACGCTTGTCGAAATGTCTTCAAAATATTATACGCTATACATATAATAAAGCTTCTCTTGGATAAAAATTTCCTGAAATTTTAAAAAATGTGTCACACTATTTTTAATATAAAGCATGAAATACCTTGTAACGTAAAAGTCAAACTGATAATATCAATACACAGGTCATTTTAAACCTTGTAACTTTTATGAAAAGCACTTTTCTGTGAAGCTTGAATGTTTCGAGACTTTTCAGGATTCAAGATTTCCGCACATGTTCCCGTGTATAATTTAGAAACTATTTTCTAAATCTTCGTTTAATACGATAGTTCCCAAAATATGTATCATATACAGACAATTTATATCATCGGTCTCAATTAAGCTATATGTTTAATACAAGAACGATTTATATCAAAGGCATGCTTTGAATGCAAAGTGAACTTTTCGTCGTATATGTTAATTATACAGATAGGCGAAAAATAATGGAAACTCTGGTAAGTGTCGGAACATATAAGTTTCACTGAAAGGTGTTTTGTATGAATAGTGTAGGATTTAAAAAAATCCATTTATTGGTCTTATCTGTTTGGCCTTGAATGGCATCGTTAGTGTCAATGTTACCTTAATCTCTGTAATGGAGTTTCATTGCTTATTGCGCATTTTTATAACGCTTGTCGAAACGTTTTCATAGCGCTAGATGTGTAATAAATATCATTTTGGTTCAAAAACTTCTAAAATATTAAAAAATGTATCGTTGTTTCTGTAATACACTGAAAAAAAAGATTGGTTGCTGTAGCAAATTAGGTTAAATATGCCAAAGCATTTTTAATTGACTGCAGCAACCAATTTTTAGTTGCGTTAGCTAATCGAAATCCTATACTGACATTGCGGATAAGCTAACACAACCAACAATTGGCTGTAGCAACCAAAAATTGGCAGTTGCAACCAATAGAAAATATTATGCCATATTTCACCATATAATTTGCTAAGAGAGGAGCGCCTGTTGATTTCGACGAAATATTCCAAAGATTTCAGTAACTCGTCGTAATCAGTGTCGTCTTCTGGAGGAACGGGGGAATAGGAAATGGGGAAATCTAAATAGGAAGGTGATGGGAAGCTGGGAACGGTGATGGGAGAAGATTCGGTCAAGTCTATGAGAGGAATTTCTGAACTGCCGGGGGTGGAATCGTTTTCGATTTTCTTATAGGAGCCAGGTGGTTGACTACGGGCCTCCTTTACAGTGTTTTTGCTCCACTTAACGATAGGAGGTGGAGTAC